CTCTCTCTCTCTCTCTCTCTCTCTTACAAAATCTTATTCTAATAAAAAAATAAGAATATTCTGATTTTTTGATAATTCTATTAGCAAGCAGATTACACATGAGCTTAACTAACCACTACACACTACTATCGCAACTCGTTGGCGACTACGTGAATATTTTACGAGACTTGTGAAAGTAATAGCACATTCTTAGAAGCGCGCGTGCGTGCATGGCTTTGAGTTTCATCGAACCATGCGTCAGCAAAACATTATGCACTGTAAAGCCTGTGGCATGTAGAATAAAATCCGATATACTCTAGTATGAATGAAAAGCTCTATCACATGACATAAGTTATGCACATACAAAGAGAGAAAGGCTGCGCACATAATATCTTGAAATAGCTTTCACGAATAAAGCATAATGATTTATATTTTGATACTTTGTGTCCGTATTGTTTTCAGAAATATTAACATACTTTTTCATATGTAATACAGTAAATCATTATATATTATATGTTGTACATCTTATGTATTATATATTATATGTTAGACAAATTCTACTAATTTTATTAATTGTCTTTATACTTGTCTATAACTGTCAGACGCCAATAAGATTGTACTTCATCCTAGTTTGCTATTTTTAATCACGTATAATATCGCATTTGCATTTTTAGTCTTCTATAATTCAAATGATCTTGAAAAAGTTCGATAGCACTTAATAGGTCAAATAAAACTTACCTGCTTGAAACCTCGGTACATAACTCGGATCTCCTGGCGGGAAAATTTAGTTTGTCGCTGAAGTTCTTCTATAGGCACTGGCCTGGTAGTTTGTTGTCTTACTCTGGTGCTTTCGAAGTCAAAGAATGCTTCTTCTGGTCCTGGCGAATCCGGTGGCGTTGTCATGATTTTTTATTTTGTCCAAAAGCCCCAAGCAAGCCGCCTTTCGCTTCTTTCTGTATTCAGTATTTTGCTAAATCAGACTATTGTATATACATTCCGCGTCATCATACATTTCATTGTGCGTTTCATTTATTGATCCGTTGCAACTCGCTTGACTTCTTTTTCTTAACCCTTCAATGCCAGACGTCTCCCAGATCAACTCAAAAGTTTTAAATCGATGTCTCTACTAGGTATTAGTTTAGCGTGATATCTCTGAAAGCCCTAAAAAAACCTTAGACAACGGTATGTTCCATAGACTTGGATTTGTCAGATCTTTTTCATAACTAAATATTTGCAAAGCTATTGGACGGTTGACGCTGTCAATATCCTAAGTATGTTCCATAGACTTGGATTTGTCAGATCTTTTTCATAACTAAATATTTGCAAAGCTATTGGACGGCTGACTCGTGAACACGTTAGTTTTTCAAAAAGTAAGTAAAATTTTTTTTAGTTTGAGCAATGTGTAATATATCAATTAATTGATGTTTTTTTTCATAAGTTTGTCAAAATTTATGTACTTACAGCAATTTATTACAGCAATTTATTTATTTATTAAGTTATGGTGTGTAGAATATGCGATTCGACACATGGAATATTAATAAAAAATGATCCTTTCTTCAAATGCTTGTATCTTCAAAACCATTTGAAATGTTTTAAATTTGTTTTTTTATCGACGCAGGATTGTTCAAACTGTCTACTAAACAAAAAAATGTCAAAATATTCATTTATCATTACAATATTGCATGTCAAAGTTGGGCGCTAGAAAAATGCATTCTTCGAAAAACGTTTCAAAGACCATTAAAACATGTAAAAAATGTATTCAATTTTAAAATTGTTAGAAAACAATACTGTCCCTAAAAGTACGAACACTTCTCTACAAAACTGCGTCGGAATTTTATAAAAATTTTGAATTTTTAAACAAAAACTTTTTCAAAAAAAATTGTCAGGTTTTTTTTAAACGCTTTTTTCAAACGTTTTTTTATATCTTCGAAACTACTCAAGATTTTTTTTCAATCTTTTTTTTGATCGATGCAGAATTGTTCAAACTTGCGATTCAAAAAAAAGAAATAAAATAAATATTGATTTTTTGCGGAGATATTTGATCTGTAAGTCGCATGATCTTTCACAGATCTGGTCTGGACAAGTCGTAGGTTATTTTTGATATCTGGCATTGAAGGATTAATCTTGTGTTTGTTGAGATGCTTTTTTCTTTTTGGACAAAAACTAAAAAACATTTATTACATGATTCTTTCTGTACAACACACGTTTAGTTAACAAGTTCATCTAAATAAAAAGAGTGATTTTTAATTACTCACATGGAATATTCTATACAAACTTTTAGATGTTTATAGACGTTATATAAAGTTATGAACGTCTACTAGAGAGAGATGTTTAATGTCATATCTGTGTAAGTATTGATTCTCTCTGTTCATAAAATAAATTTTCTTTTTATAATTAAAAAAACATATATATTTTACACACAAGAAAATGCAAATGTATAGAAATTCCAGTGTACGTTAGAGCTAGGTAACAACAATGCAAACACAATAAAGATTTTTAAGTATCAAAATAAAGGTTTTTTCATAATTTAGAGATGTAGTGTACTTTCTCATCTATTATAGCGTCTTGCGTGTTCTAACTCTCCAAATTTAATAATATAAATAATAAATTTATATAATTATGTTATTTATATAATTATATATCTATAACATATGTTACATATATATATTTATACTTATTATTAAATTACACATTTATATTCGAGGATGTTTTTCGGATGTGAACCGCGTTAGTGTCATTTTTATACCGACGTTTCGTGAGCATTTTTCAGCTCACTTCATCAAGGTTGATACAGTATCAGGCTGCTCTTGAAACCCTGAGCTGAAATGTTCACAAAACGTCGGTATAAAAATGACACTACCACGGTTCAAACCCGAAAAACATCCTCGAATGTTAATACACATCGCGAAAGCATCAAATATCAGATTACACATTTATAATTTATTATTTATGCGTATACCTATTTTATGTTTGTAAAATTTTACTATTATATGTTACTTCTCTATTTAGTGCAATTACATTTAGAATAAAAAATGTTACTTTTAACAAAGTACTTTGCATTTAGGAACATCAAGTTATTTCGTATATTCACTAAATTTTAGTTTTAGAATTCTACACTTCAATATTTAAATCTCTTAATAACATTGGAAAATTATAGCTAAATTTATTGTTTGTCTTCGCATTGATATAGCATAGCTTTGAGGCTTTGATAAATCTTACATGTAAAGAGAAAATGTTATGAAAATTAGTTTCATGAGGGAAGATAAATTTGATATGCTGTCTCAATGTTTTATGTTTCCAATCCTATTATATTTCTTTTAATCGCCATTACTAAGACACATACATAGACTGTTGAAGTTGCGTTTTAAGATCTAAATTTCAAGATTCTATAAAGATCTTGTAAAACTAATCCAACAAAATAAGTAAATTGCTCGCTTAAAACTCGATGTTAAAAGATATCACAAAAAGTGTGTGTGTGTGTGTGCGTGCGTGCGTGCGTGCGTGCGTGCGTGCGTGCATGTGAATAAAGACCATCAAACGCTATTTTTTCTCAAACTAAGAAGCTAAGAAAAATACGTCGAAGAAAATTTGCATGTTATCAACTTTAACAGATTTGAATGAAAAATGTTCAAGATTGCTGTTACAATATTTATATCAAGATTATTACATATAATGATAGGAATGTATATGGAAGATCGAATGAAAGAAGAAAAGAGAATAACAAAGTATAAATACTATTTTTGTCGGATTTGTGCTTAATGGCACGGAAAAAAAATTACAACGCTTAAGTACCTAAATAAGCAAGTTTCAGAATATTTTTTAAAAAATTAAAATGTAGTGCACATTACGTTGAAAATAATATATATGTCTTAGTATGCTTTTATGTATATCGCAATGTTCATTATTGCAATTTTTGATATTACTGAATGTAAAACTATGTCTTTGAAAATATATATATGTATAAATGATGTATGTATAAATAATATAAATATATTCCCAAATGAATATAAAGTATATAAAAAGGTCGCCGATAGTAACATAAGTCTTATAAAGAGAAACTTTTTTATTTTTTTAAACCTAAACATTACTTTTTATAAATACAGATAGAAACATAATCTGCCAGATAATTAATGAAGTAGATAATACATATTTATAATTAATAATGTTATATATTTATATATAGTTATATATTAACATAGCTTATTTCTATGTCAAATTACCTAAAACCTAATTCTTGAAAGGTTAAAAAACTTATGATTTTTGTGTCAAATTAAACAATAGTGAATATTGAATAGAATATTAGATCATTTTATATGTAACTTCCTAAAAACTCTATTTTTACTTTTATTTTATCTTTTTTTCTTTTCTTACTTTTAAAATCCAATTACTCACGTTTATGTGAGTTATTATCCAATCCCTCTACGTTTATGTTTATTTTACAAAAAAGCTAATTATTACAACACTCAGAACAATACTATAAAAACTGTGATATATATATATATATTTATTATCTGATAGATAGACTATTTAGTTTATACTACATTTAAAAAAAGGTTATTTATTTTTAGCATTGTTTAAGAAATAATTCAAAAACAAAGTAATATGTCACTATCGGCAACTTTTTTTATCACTTTCGAAAAATTTCTGATAATCATAACATTATCATATTTTGATAATCATTCACAAAATAATATAAATTTAATTCATCGTTAAATTTTTCTTTTGTATCATCATCAATATTAGTCATATCATATATTATTATTACATCACAATATGGAATGTCTATTACAAGAATAACTTATTTTTTAAAAATCTTCAAAACGAATTCTTAGATATATACATATATACATAGAGAGATTCATATTTTATATCACAATATCCAGATTTCACAAAAGATAAAAATTTAATATTTTAAGATCACCTGTTATCTTTGCGTTGCGTTCTCGTGACTCAAAACTGCAGACAATTTCTTATCACAATCAGCAGAGTAAAAGAAAAGAAGTTCTTAGAAACATGTGGGAGTCTTTTATCACAGATCTTTTGGTTGATTTGCATGAGAAGATCGTGGTAACGATTTCGGGAGCGAGAAGCAGTGGCTTGCATACGGCTGCATCAGCAGCAATGGCTGTCAACTCGAGCAGGTAAATCACTCGGTGATGCGGCTGACGACCTTTTCATCATCAAATAAGGAGATAGCGTGGCGATAAGATACGAAGCTGTCAATTGACCAATCTGCATATCATAATTTTGTCGTATCGATCTCCAACGCCGTTTGATTCTTATTTTAGGCAGTGAATGGAAAAGATTAAAAAAAGGCACAAGTAGAGATGAGTGGAGATACACGTGAATATCTCTAAATCTCGTCGAAACACTGTCAAGATTTTAAAAGATTGAAGATCCACAAACCAAATTCAACAATCCAAGCGAGTTCGCGACCGGCGACACACTGATTGCCTGGGTAGAACGCACCTCCTAGACGGCGCTATCGTTTGTTGGACGCCCTAGCTAACAGCGAGGTGGCGGCACATCGACCACCATCGTACAAGAGAGATTGCTTTGAGTCATCGACGGAAACTACCCTTTAGTTGTTTAAAGGATATATTATAGTCTGCACGTGTGAAGAACAGAACACATCAGTGAATAGCATAACGCATTAGTAACGAAATGTGTTTTGCACAGATATTGTAAAGAAGTGTAAAATAAATAAGTTAAATATAAGTCGGATATTAGTAAATAAATGTTATAGATATACAATCTCGACAGATTTATTTATTTTCTTACAGTGTATTTACTTCATTGCAACATGTACATTTATGTTAAAAAAATACATTCTTTGCTTAATAAAAGATGATTTTTTAAAATAATTTACAAATTAAAGATGGACCAGTTAGACTACTTTTTATCCTTATTGCAAAGCTTTAAAATTAGTTAATGTAATTAATCCCACACAGCAAACTTTGTTGTAGAGATATCCTACAGACATTATTATGGAATATCGCAATATTCGTAATCCGACATCCCAAAATGTTCTCAGATATCTGAGAAATGTTCATATGTTGTACTAATGTCCGCTTTAGTGATATCTTACGAATAACAGATGATGTCAAAGAATATCTGAGGAAACTTAAAAAATATCGTACGATATAATTCCACATAGCACGTAATAATATTGCAATATCGCAATAATATTGTTTTTCCATTGCAATATTACACTCTAATATAGTAGAAATATTATCGTAATGTTACTGTAATATCACAGTAATATTAAAATGTCCGCCAAACTGGATTACAACAATATTACGGTAAAAACAAAATCAATGACACGTCGTCTTATAAGAGGAAAAATTAATTCGAAATTTCACTCAATTAATCTCTCTCTTTAGAGGCCTAATACAGTTTACCGATCAACTAATTACCTCGATGAAAGATACCGAGACCCAGACAAAATCCTGAGATAATGGTAAGATTCGAACTTGAGACCTCCATTATCGTAGCCCCTGCACTCAATCCGCGAAACCACTTCCCACACAATTCAATGTCCAATGAACGTCTATAGAACGTCTCGCTCGACATGTACAGACGACCAAATGATGTAACAAATATGTCTCGAAGAAGTTCAGTAGACATCGTTTGTACATACAATGTATCGCTCTCACAAGGGAAGACTACGACGTTGTACCAATCGATTTGAACGAAATTTATAGGATCGATAGATGACTATGTGGAATATTACAGGGTAAAGTAATAAGACGCACTACTCAAGCATTCGCGAGAAAATCAAATTTGAAAATTTCGAGTTACTTTATAAGGATATTAAATAGATTGTTTAATCGAAGAGCGCGTAGCGTAGCGGTAACGTACTAGGTTAGTAATGACGTCACTGCTGGTTCGAGTCTCGATATAAGTTTTTTCTCCTCAAAATTCTACAATATAATCTAAATGTAAGTAATTTGTTTATTCTAAATGTAAGTAACGTTTTCTTTTTTATTGCATGTTATAACAGTGCATTTTTTGCATAAAAACTTTGTGATTTAGAAAATACAGTAAAAATAAATAGATTATTACTACAAAAATTTTTATAAACATTACTTCAGTAATCACTCTTACCTGCAGAATGGTTAAGCAGGCACTACCTGCATGATTTCAAAAATGTATTTTACAATGTTTATAAAAATTTAAACATTAAAAATTTGCAACTTATTGGGCAACGTTTCTTATACGTTTCTATGAAAACGTACCGCAACTTAAAAAGCGGACATTTCGACGTTTCCGCTACGTTACTACGACGTTTCAGAGACTTTTAACGAAACATTGCTAAGTTTTGGAAAACCTATTGCAGAAACGTTTGTGCTACTAACGATGCCATGTGGGTACTAACGTATGCGGCACCAGTGTAGTGCACCACTGCGCTAACTAACAGTAAAGTACTACAAGTATTCCAAAATAAATGTCTGAGACTTATGTGTAACAAAAACACATATGCGAAAATAACTGATTTGCATAAAGATACTCAAATAGCTATGTTCAGGGAATATGCAAGAGAAGTTGGAAGGAGATTCTATTATTACCAGCGTGACAGGGGTACTCAATTACCCAGCAAACACAGAATATATCAGCTGTATAACATAAAAATAACACGTAATATAACGGCTGTTATACTCTATTAACATTAATCTTATATAACTTTTTTTTATAATTGTCATATAATTGTGTTACATATCTATTATATTGCTTTGTTATTACTTGGCAATGACATTATAACAGCAATAAAATTGATATGGAATATGTTACATAACAAATGTTATCTGAACACAACATTGTTGTTATTTAACATTATTTATTAATATATAATTATTGCAATATAAAAGCAATGAAATAGTTACATAGCTTTTATAAAATTCTATATAACTGTTAGGAAATTACTACATTGTCGTTGTTACTTGATAACAACATATATATTTGCGTTTGTGAAAAGATTGAGAAATTAAAACATGTGCGCGTATAATGTAATAAAAAAAGTAAGTATAAAAATTTTATTAATTTTATTATTATTAGTCTTGTATGTTATATGTTTTATACATATAAAGGCCATTGCACATGACAAAAGTTAGTTGTAGTCGTAAGGTCATAGTTAAATGACTAACTATAATCACAGGCCAACATTCTAGCTTATACGTGCCCAACAAACACAGAATATAACTGCTATATAACATAGAAGTAACAGCGTGATATACGTAATATAACAGCTGTTATACTCTATTAACATCGATGTTATGTAACTTTGTTTTATAAAAGTAATATAATTATGTTATATATTTATTATATTGCTTGTTATTAGCTGGTAATGACATTATAACTTTCATATAACATTTCTGTAACTATATAACAATTATATTACATTCTACTTACATGTTATATTCATATTATATAACTGCAATATACGATAAGTAGGAAATTACAACTAACATGGATGTTACAAGCAACGAGTATGTTATATTACTTGTTACATTTGTTTTATTACGACAATGTTGCTCTTATATCCCAGCAAGCAAGCTCACGTGATAATGACGTGATCATGAAGTGATTTTGATGACTACGACGTTAAGTAACATAAATGGTATATTAGTTTGTCATTTACAATACCAAAAGTTGACGTCGCCGATATGACGTCATTTAGATGTCGCGTTGACGTCATATATCAACTTATATATATTGAACTTCAATATGACATCAATAAATCGATTAAATGAAGTTCTAACAACAATCTTGAATTAAATTCAACCGTTAATTATAATAATATATTTATTACTAACATTTGTTTTTTTGAATAATATTATATCTTTAAATACATTATTTATAGATAAGTATAGCCATTTATTTATAGATAAGTAGCAACGTACACTTTGGTAAACTGATTACTTATTATATATTAAATTTATTAAAAATAACATAATATATAAATATATATTCAATGATAACTAAAGTTTATTGTAGTTAATTTTATAATAAGAAAAATTATTATTACATATTTTTTATTATTAAATAATAAACGAAATGTGTAAAATAGTTTGAGAATAAGTAAAGAAAAATAATTACAACATGAAATCTTTAGTCATAAGAGCCAAAACTAATTACATTATAGTAAAGAACAAGTGGTCTAGCGGACTGAGTGCAGGGGCTGCGAATATGGAGGTCTCGAGTTTCAAATCCCATCATCACCTTAGGGTTTTTTCCGGACCCGGTATCTTTCATCGAGTTAATCAGTTGATCGACAAACTGAATCAGATCTCCAAAAATTAATTCAAGTGAAATTTCGAATTAACTTTGTTTCTATAAAGCGTTTTTTTTATACATCACCGTAATATTACTGCGATGCATTTCGGCGGTCATTTTATTACTGTAATGCAGTAATATTACGTGCTTTGTGGGATGTTAATATTATTGTTCTTTAAATGTTGCATTTTATTTTCCTTTTAAATTTACAATAACGTCTTTACCATGTTATATTGATGAGACTTTTTTGATTATATTCACGTCTACTTGACGTAATATCGTCACTCCCTACGTATAATCCCGTAACTTCAAAACGCAAATTTTAGAGAGCAGTTTAAAAGTATAAAGCTTCATATGTTTCCCTATAGTTAGGGATCTTTTGGTTTCAAATTTGTACCTTACTTATGAATATTTTTTTTAAATATTTGGTGACCATAAAGAACATGACTTTCTAAGTGTCACTATGCAATAAACTGAAAATCCCATATGTGACACTTATGTAATTATACGTAGGAAGTGACAATATAATGACGTAAATAAGATGTGACATAATCACGTGATATGTACGTCAAAATCACGTCATTGTTATGTCATAATTGACGTTTTGCAGACTAAAAACTGACGTCATTATCACGTGAGCTTACTTGCTGGGATATTTGTGTTTGCTGGGTGGTCTGTAAGTGGTTGAATTGCTTACAACTTTATAATTAAAACTTTTTCACGTGCAATAGTTTTAATATAATAAAAACAATATTATTACGACACATTAATTTTTGAACATATATCCAGTAATAGCGGATACGTAAAGCATAGGTGCGTTCAGACAACTCAACAGTTTGTTAAGTAAACCGCCTCGAGATGTAAGTAAAAAAACTGCACAAACTTATTGGCCAACCTAATATGTACTATATATATATATATGTATGTACATGTAATAATATATTTTATTAAAAATAGATATGTATGATACTGAATATTTGTTATTAATTATTTGATTCCTTTACATTATACTTTTATGATACCACTTCCAAGAATATCAGGTCTTTGATTTTAAATAAAACTAAACAAACTATTTTTTATAATAATAATTTTGTTAAGTTTTATTTAAAATTAATTCAAAGACAATATTCCTGAAAATTCTACGTGCTTAAATATA